CTAGCTTCTTTGGTTGTCTATAATTCTATGGCTGCAAGCAACAGCAAACAGATCTTTGTAGATAAAAACTAAACAAATTAGAAGCTTTAAGACTGGAATGAGACACCAAATGTTGAAAACATTTTGTGTGCAAGCAGCTAAAACCCAAATTAAGAGGGGCAGGGAGCAAAGGCTGGCCTCATTTCTGATACGTTTTAAACCGGTTTGCTAATGGGTTTGAAGAAGTTTAAATGACCCTGGTTCACACTTGAACTGAATCGCTGAAGCGGTTTGAAGAGGGGGGACCATGCTCTAGACCCATTTAATGAGCGTCTTTTTGACACTGATTTTTTTCCGCATCTGTTTTGATAAAGTGATTCTGCACAAGTGTGAACCAGATGCGGATCAGAATCAATTTAAATTTGCCCTTTGGCCGGCTAAAGCAGGTCCATTTTGAACCAATTCATTCATCAATGTGAATCACAAGTGGGTTATTTTACAGCAAGAAAATATTATCAGTGAAAATGTAGTGTGAACCACGCTCCGTTGTCGAACCGATCCATGGATTCAGATCGCAAACCAATTAATTGTAAGTGGGAATGAGGCCACTGTCTCCAGGACAAATATGGGTAATTGCACTGGTTGCTACAGAGTGAAGCTGGAATTGGGTTAAATTTGTCACCTTGCTCCCTTCCCCCCCTTCCCGATCCATGACCTCCAACAGTACACAGGTGAAATCTGAAGCATGTGTGCCCCAGTAAAAATAAATGAGGAAGAACACACATGGTAGGACAAGTTGAAGCAATTTGCTTTTCTGTGAGCCTACTGAAAAGGACAAGACTCTGGTCCTCTTGGACCTGCTAAGTTAATGGAGTGCAAACTACTTTTGCCTGTTGCACTCACTTTGTAGCAGCTGAAGTAAACTGAGGACAAAGGGGGAAAGTGGGAAGATGAGAGAGAAACTGGGACATTTTAAATGCAGCTGATAAAGTGGGAGGACAAGAGAATTAAGAGGGACTGTCCCCGACAAATCAAGACACTTAGAGGAAATGGGAACTTCACTGAGTTCAAGTTCCTTCCACAAAAGGAAGGACAGGTGGGATTCAGACCATTATTTAGTATTCACATCTAACAGAAACAGAAAACCACCTCAGGGAGGAAAAAAGATAGCAGGCCTATTTTAATGACAATTTTAATATTTTCTGCACATTTTTATTGTCCCGATTGTATATCAATCTGTGCATTTTGTATGGAACAGTGATCCAAGCATTTAAAAACAACAACTAAACATAAAACACAGTAAACCTTCATGCAAAGTGATATGTGTAAAATGTGATTAATTAATTTATAGCTTGGATCAATTTGGATGCTTGCTTTCCTTCTTTATTAGATTACTAGAAATAATGTGAATTTTTTTTTAGCCCTAATACAAATGTGACATAGTGGTTTGAGTGTTGGACTAAAACTCTAAAGACCAGGGTTTGATTCCCCAGTTGGTCATTCAACTCATTGGGTGACCTTGGGCAGGTCACACTCTCTCAAACTCAGGGGAAAGCAATGGCAAACTTCCTCTGAACAAATCTTGTCAAGAAAACCCCATGATAGGTTCGTTTTAGGGCCACCATAAGTTGGAAATGACTTGAAGGCATACAACAACAACAACAACAACAAATTCAGTGATATGGCTGTAGTGTATCCTGCAAGTGTATCCTGCCTGTTACATAATTCTAATCTAAAGCAAAAGAGCAGGGAAACAATTCCTGCTTTAAAAATGCTTGATGCTGTTTCTCTATATTTTAAACCCTACCTTTCAAAGTTTCCTGTCCCTAAACTTAACTATTAGTTCATCCATTCCCATGAAAAGTTGGTATGGCACAGAGTCAGTAAGGCTTACCAGTACTTCAGTCTCTGCCTTATTTCCGAACTGCTTACCAGTGGCATCACTAGGGTTGGTGTCACCCGGTACGGTAACTCATGGTATCACCCCTCCAATGATCTTCTTTTCCCATACCATTCCATACAGAATCTCTAGTAATGTTTTTGTACTAAAGTTACTCACAAATTATAATTCCCACATGTCACTGAATGTAATGTTAACACTTGTGACCTAAACAACCAGCAAAATTAAAATTATACCTTTAAATTACAATATTTAAATGTGTAAATGTGTTTACATGTACATAGTTTCATGTGGCTAAAGTGAAAAATCTGTAAGATGTGATGCTTTAAAGAAAATTTAAGAAGAATTAAAATAATTTTCAATTTTAAAAAAAAATACAAATTTTTAAATAAAAAAAACTTAGGCCTCTTTTTTCTCCTCTCAGTGAGTTTCACCCCACTCATACCATCTCTTCAGCATTTTAAAGGGACACAGGTGAATGCCACAGCCCATTTCTGCCACAAGGCAGATGTTTGGGGAGCGGTGGTGTCCCTTCCCCTTAGGGTATCACCTGGAGTGGCCTAAACCCCTCACACACCATAGTGACACTCTTACTATTTACCACCTACTTTATGCTCTGTTAATTTTACACACACACACACACACACACACACTAAATATATCTATACTACCTAAAATGGA